CATCTGCAAGTTCTTGTTTCTACCGCCACTCTTGCTTGGGGGGTCAATCTGCCGGCGCACGCCGTCATCATCAAAGGCACCCAGATCTACAATCCCGAAAAAGGCAGATGGGTTGAGTTGTCGCCGCAAGATATCTTGCAGATGCTCGGGCGAGCAGGGAGACCGCAGTACGATACATATGGAGAAGGTATGATCATCACCAACCATTCCGAGCTTCAATTTCATCTTTCAATTACTACTAGTCAATTGGTGGGTTTTTTGACCTTTTTATGAAAGAAGTAGAAATGTTAATCTAGTTTCCCTCCCCTAGCCAATCGAATCTCAATTGGTCAGCAAATTAGCCGACATCCTCAACGCCGAAATCGTTTTGGGTACTATTAGAAACCGCGAGGAAGCAGCCCAGTGGCTAGGTTACACGTACTGGTACCAGCGTGCGCTGGAGAATCCCTCACTCTACGGCTTTCAGCATGATCCCGAGGACCCCTTGTTGCTCCAAAAACGATCTGATATCGTCCACACTGCATTCTGCATCCTCGAAAAAAGCGGACTGGCCAAATACGACCGAAAAACCGGGCTAGTCACTACACTCGAGCTTGGAAAAATTGCTAGTCATTACTACGTCACCAACACATCAATGCTGACTTACAACCAACACCTCCGGCCCACAATGACTCTTATCGAATTATTCAGGTCAGAAATTTGAACTTGATCTCTGCGCTGACAATCCCAACACTAAGATCTACCCCTTTTTCGCCCTTTCGTCCTGCAGAGTTTTTGCTGCAAGTGACGAGTTCAAGTACATGCCTATCCGACCCGAAGAAAAACAAGAGTTGGCTAAGCTCTTGGAGAAGGTGCCGATTCCAGTCAAAGAATCTGTAGGAGATCCAAGCGCCAAGATCAATGTGCTTTTGCAAGCTTACATTTCAAGACTGCCGCTAGAAGGGTTCGCACTGATGGCTGACATGGTCTATGTTACTCAATCGGCCGGAAGGATCTTGAGGGCCTTATTTGAGATCTGTCTGAAGCGTGGTTGGGCTAGATTGACCCACCAAGCCTTAGATTTATGTAAGATGGTTGAGAAAAGGATGTGGGTATCCATGACCCCTCTTCGGCAATTTCCCTCTTGTTCAGCCGACATCATTCGACGGGCCGAACGGAAAGACTTTCCGTGGTACCGATTCTTTGACCTCGAACCCCCGGAGCTAGGCGAATTGATGGGTAACCCCAAACTTGGTAAAACGATTCACCGATTTGTCCATCAATTCCCCAAGCTGGAACTTCAAGCTCTCGTCCAACCCATTACCCGAACTATGTTGCGTGTCGAACTAACCATCACGCCAGATTTCATGTGGGATGAATCGGTTCATGGGACGGCCCAGATGTTTTGGATCATGGTCGAAGATGTAGATGGGGAACTAATTTTGTTCTCAGATCAGTTTCTTCTTCGCCAACGATACGCCAACGAAGAACATTTCGTCACTTTCTATGTACCTATGATCGACCCGCTACCCCCGAATTACTTCATCTCAGTCGTTGCTGATCGCTGGCTTCACGCTAGCACCCGCTTACCTCTATCGTTCAAGCATTTGATTCTACCGGAAAAGTTCTCACAGCCCACTCCACTCTTGGATCTCCAACCGCTTCCTGTGGCAGCCCTCCATAATAAAGCCTTTGAATCGATTTACCTCAAGCAAGGCCTCAAGAACTTTAACAAGATCCAGACTCAAGTGTTCCAGGCGCTTTACACCAGTAACGATAACGCTTTGATCTGCTCACCCACGGGTAGCGGTAAGACGATTTGTGCTGAATTCGCTTTGTTGCGACTTTGGTCTCAACCTGAATGGCAGAGGTGTGTTTGCATTGAGCCTTATCAGGAAGTAGTCGATCTTCGAGTTAAAGAATGGAGACAGAAGTTTGGTCCTTTGGGGAAAGTGATCGAGCCTCTGACTGGTGAACTGACTCGGGATGTCGAGCTAACGGCGAGTGATGGGAGCAAGCCCGGACAGGCCAGAATCGATATTATCATTTGCACGCCAACTCAATGGGATCTAGTGTCAAGACGATGGAAACAGCGAAAGATGGTGGAGCGCACAGGACTACTGATTGCAGATGAAATCCATCTGATCGGCTCTGAAATTGGACCCGCCTATGAAGTCATTGTTTCCAGGACTCGCTACGTTACTGCGCAGAGCGAGATCAGCAAGACCCGAATCGTCGCCCTTGGTTGTCCACTGGCTAACGCGCGAGACTTGGGCGACTGGATGGGCGCTAATTCCCAAGCGATTTTCAATTTTGCTCCTGGATCTCGACCTCTGCCTTTGGAGGTCCACATCCAGTCCTTCAACGTTCCTCATTTCCCGTCATTGATGATCCAGATGGCCAAACCAGCCTATCTATCAACGCTCGAATATGCTCACGAGAAGCCAGTCATTGCGTTTGTACCATCACGAAAGCAGTGCCGGTTGACAGCATCCGATCTATCAATCTACGCTCTCTCAGATGAAGATCCGCAGCGGTTCTTGAACATCGAGCAAGAGGATCTTGCCCCATATCTCGCTAAGGTATCGGATGAAAACCTTCGCGAAACTTTGGCCAGTGGGATCGGCTACTATCATGAAGCCATGTCTAACACGGATAAGGTCATCGTACAAAAGTTATTCGAAGTGGGTGCGATTCAGGTCGTCATTGCGTCGAAAGATACGGCTTGGAGTATTCCGATGACGGCATATATGGTCATCATCATGGGCGTGCAAAGCTACGAGGGTAAAGAGCATCGTTATGTGGACTATTCCTTTCCAGACATTCTACAGATGATGGGTCGGGCTTGTAGACCGAGTGAGGATAGTTCGAGCCGATGTGTATTAATGTGCCAGCAAGTTCGAAAAGAGTGAGTTACGAGATACCATGATCCGTGTCTCCCGCTTTGTCTTAGTTGCTAATTGATAAAGTGCTTTTTTCCAGGTTCATTAAGAAGTTTTTAAACGAAGGTTTGCCCATCGAGTCGCATCTTCATTTATCTCTACATGATCATTTCAATGCAGAAATTGTTGCCAAAACCATCGAGTAGGGCACACATTTTTTTTAATAATGGCTCATCAATATCGCTCGCTGAATTGATTTTGTTACTTCGATCAGGAATAAGCAGGACGCAGTGGACTGGTGCACCTGGCAGTGGTTTTACCGTCGTTTGGTGGCCAACCCGAACTATTATAATATGCAAGCAACCGATCATCGACACTTGGTTAGTACTTCATCTATACAATTTCAACAGTTTCTCACCTTGTGGTTCTGATCTCTTTCTGGGGGCTCTCGGTTTAACAGAGTGATCATTTATCCGAACTGGTTGAATCGACGCTTTCTGATTTACAAAACTCGAACTGTATTGCCATTGAAGACGAGATGGATACGACCCCTCTTCCTCTCGGAATTGTTGCCGCGTACTACAATATCAACTACATTACTGCAGACGTGTTCAGTATGAGCTTGACTGAAAAGACCAAGCTCAAGGGAATCCTTGAGATTATTTCCGCAGCCCAAGAGTTTGAATCAATCCCATTGCGACACGGTGAAGAAGGCCTGCTGAAGAAAGTCCACGATCGAGTGCCGGTGAAAGTAGGGAAAGTAGAATACCTGTCACCTCATTTCAAGACCAATATCCTCTTGCAGGCTCACTTTAGTCGATTGACCCTACCTTCGGACTTGATGCTCGATCAAGTTGAGATCTTGAGGAAGGTTCCAAATCTGATCTCAGCTGCTGTGGACGTCTTGAGCTCTCAGGAATGTCTCAACACCACAGTCGCCATGGAATTCTTCCAAATGGTTGTGCAAGCTGTTTGGAACCACGATAGTCCGTGAGTTGTTTTTCTTTTCTTTTTTGTTATGTCTAGATTAGCTGTCCGGCACCTTTCAAATTGACCGGAATCTTAATCCTACTTTCTGTCTGTCTTGATTCGAAACAGATTGAAGCAAATCCCCGGCTTCACGTCTGAGATCATTCAACGATGCACTGCAGCTAATGTAACCCAAGTTACTGACATCATGGAGTTAGTCCTCGATTAAGACATCTATCATGACTTTGTAGAAGACTGACTTCGAATGCCTCATGACAAAACCAAAGGCTTGAAGATGATGAGCGAAATCGACTGCTGCAGATGGACACAAAACACTTAGCGAAGGTGGCCCAATTTGTCAACTCGTATCCGGCAATCGAGATCAAACATGAGATCGAAGACGAAGATTCACTGGTGACAAATACACCCATCACGTTGAAAGTCTCGTTGGTGGCAGAGGATGATGAAGAGGAAGAAGGCTCGAAGACGGCGGTTGCTGGAAACGTTGTCGTTGCGCCCTTCTACCCCACCGTCAAACAGGACTGTTGGTGGTTGATTGTCGAGGATCCGAAGCAGAAGAAGCTTCTGGGTTTGAAGAAAGTCACCGGGGCGACTCCTCTACCCACAAAAATTGAATTCACCGTCTCAACGGCCGGAAAACATGAACTCAAACTAGACCTGATCTCAGAGTTAGTGGTTTTGCTATATTTTATCTTCAGCGTTGAAGACCAGAATGACCAATTTTTCTTTTCTTTTTTTTTTGTCTTTTCAGTTCGTATATTGGAGTGGATCAGGAATTGAAGCTGGAAATTAATGTGGCAGAAGGGGAAGAATCGGACTCGGATGAAGAGGATTCGGATGAAGAGATGGAAGACAGACAGGCCTCTGAGAAGAATTGAAGAAAAACAGCAAACCCGCCCTCTACTTAAAATCTTGCAATCGGCTCCATTCTCTCTGCATGCAGCATCCCCCTCCCCTCCTCCTCCAAATCTCATAGGAAATGATCTGTGTATATACTCCTGAATTCTCACGTTAATGTAATGTATTTAAATCCAGACAAATACTGCCCTGCTGTGAATCTATGTCCATTTCATCCAATGTGCTAGTCTAAACTCTCAAATACGCTGGGTGGCTAAAGGTTTATACAAGATGATTTGAGTCACCAGGGAGGTCTCCATAGCTCAGCGGTTTAGAGCGGCCGCCTGCAGCCTCCCTGCATAGCGGCAGGTCACGTGTTCAAATCACGTTGGGGACTCCCCTTCTGGGGTAAAATTGATTAGCTCATCAATGAATCCATCACCTCCAGTTGCCCACTAGGATCTAATACTATGCATCAACAGAAAACTGTCCTGAAGTTAACTCTTTATTGTCCTTTTGTTGATTAATTTGGTCCTCTAATTGAAAATTTCTGTCCCCATTTTTACTTTAATTGTCCTTCTTTAGATCAATTTCGTCCTTGTTTCGACTTCAGTCTGTCCTTTAGTTGAATATATTTTGTCCTCTCATTTAAATAGTCAGTCCTGTTGTTAACCTTGTCCTGGTTTTGATTAAGCTGGACATTTCTTTGTGGCGCTCAGGATGCCCAAGTTTTAGACAAAAAAAATACGTAAAACTTCTGTTGCAATTGATTTTTACTAATTACAACTTGATAATATTTTTAAAATGTTCTTGGGAGATATGCTGCAAGTCAAAAACAGAGAAGAAAAATAAAAAGAAAAGGAAACATAGAGAAAAGAGTAAAAAAGATTAAGACAATTGAGGAACCTGAAAGAAATTTTCAGGATCCTTGATGATGTTTCCAGTTATTGACTGCATGTGATTACAAGTTTGATAAAACTTCTGGCAGTGCAGAAAGCTTTTCTGGCATATCTCTAGGGTCATTTTCTCCGTAATTGCCTGTAANCTGTTAGGAAGTCTCACATGGATGTGTTAGCAAATGTGTATCAAGCAGTGCCTAGTTTGACACTTCAACATCCCCCCGTGCTTGGTACAGGGTTGCTAGCTAATGCTTTCAACCTTTCCAAGTTCAAGGTGCAGCTTTAACGCTAAGCTGGGCTCATAACCTATTGAACAAGTGAAAAGGAAGGTTGTGTACTGTGGGACTCGAACCCACAACCTCAGCATTCATGAGTGATGCTCTAACCATTGACACTGCGGGCATTGAGCTGTCGTTCCGCGCCGCAGCGACACCTGTCGTTTCACTTAATCTGACGTTCACGCGCGACCTGTGAAACCTGAGCTTGCAACGACAGTTACCCTGTCTGCAGCGACAGCAGCTCAGAAAACCTTGCCCACCGCTCATTCTTCCACCACCCTCAAGTCAAACGACCCCGAGATGAAATTGTGCACCTGCTCTGTGTGCAGCCTCCATACAGTCGTTGACGCAAACCAAGAACCGATCTCTGGCCAATACATATCGGACCGTAACTTCGCCAAGCACCGAAATGCAGATCTCCTTCGACACCATACCACCTTTCACAATCCATCCGAAGACAGTACAAGCTCATCACCCATATCGTCAACTTCTCTTTCCGGAAGCGATTATTCTGAATTTGAGCCAGCGCAGCCTCTTGGTAGTGAGCATTTCCTTCAAAATGTTGCTTGATTGATCTTACCAAGAAATTGATAATCTGTAACGTAGTTTTTGTAGCACTTTTTATATCATGGCTTCATATTTTCTGCCACGTCAGCCGAGAAAACTGCCAAGCGGCAACTACTATCCTGCTCAACATCCTTTCAATGGCGACGAAAGGTTCCTCCAACAACCAGAACATATTGACAATTCCACGGGATCCTCGAACATTGGTTCAAAAATCCAATCTTAATGTTGAACTCACCAAAACCCTCTGTTGCCGAACATGCTTCCATCTCTACGAACAAAATCGCAGTACTCCGATTCTATGCCAATACAAAAGCTTCCCCGATTCAACTCCCTGCAACGAACTTTTATTTGTGCAAAAACCCCACTACAAAGGACGAAAGGATATTGGAAACCCTGAAGACTATTTGACAGCACCAACACTGGTTCCTGAAGTTACCGGAGCCCCTCGATGCTGCTACGTTTCGCAGCCAATCAAGTCATGGCTGAAGTGGCTCCTGGGGCGGTCAGATACCGAGAAGGCAATCACCGATTGGAGCGTGAAAAACGATCAACAGAAGGATCTAGGGTACATTTCAGACATTCAACACGGAGACGTATATAAGAACACTCGATGGGAAACATCCAGCAATACTCTCAAATTAGCCCTCATACTATTTGTTGACTGGTTCAATCCCCGCGGCAACAAGTTGAGTGGCAAAGTCGAATCAACGGGCGTCATAGCACTTTCCTGCGTCAACCTTCCCCCAGACCTTCGATATCGTTTTTCTCATATGTGCCTCGCTGGAGTAACTCCTGGGCCTTTCTCTCCCGACCCACAGACAATCAATCATCTGCTCACCCCCCTGGTCGATGAGTTAATCCAACTCAATCACGAGTTTATTATTCCCACTTACCAATATCCGAACGGACGAAAAGTGGCGATCAAGCTTATTGCTGTCCATGGCGATGTTCTTGCAACAAAGAAGGTGACCGGTTTTGCTTCACACACGGCCACCATGTTTTGTTCATTCTGTCATGCAAAATCTTCCGATCTAGCATTGTTGCAAACGGGCAAAAAACGATCAAGAGACGAGACCCTCACCGCTGCTTTATTGTCAAAGGCTGCCAAATCGGCCAATTCTCAAGATATGGTATTGCGCGAGACAGGGGTTAGATGGTCTGAATTGAACCGCCTTAGCTATTGGGACCCTAGCCACCATGTCGTGTTGGGAATAATGCATAACTGGGCTGAAGGTGTGCTTCAGACTCATTTTCGGTACCGTTGGAAGTTTTGGGCGATTCCTGTGTACGAAGCCAAAAAAAAAAGATCGGTGGCGACAACTTCGACTTCAGGCGTAGCAAACAAAAGAACGAAGCTCAATATCATCGACCAGATGGACTTGGATGAAGAAGACATGTCGGAGGACTCTGACAGCAATCATGACATTCCACTGAATGCCGGCGTGGATGGAGCTTTTTTCTCAATGAACGATATTGAGACGTTTCGTCGTGGCATGAAGGAAGTGGTTCTCCCCCCTGGCTTGCCTCACTTACCACCAAATCTTGGAGAATCTAAACATGGTAAGTTGAAAGCCTCTCAATGGCACGCACTTTTTTCGTACATCGTCCCTCTCGTAATTCTGGAAATGTACGTTGAAAGTGTGAATAACTTGGATCTGGGTTCGAATCGAGGGCTTTTTTTGATGAATACCGCACACTTAGTGCACTGCACCAATATTCTCTATGCGCATAAGTTCAAAAGTAAATCGGCAACCCTTTGGCAGTCATATTACATGAAATATTCCGACACTTGTATGAAGCTATTCCCCAACGTGAAGATCAAGCCCAATCACCACTATGCGCTCCACCTTCCCGACCAGATGATTGCTTGGGGTCCCTTGATTGGAGTAGCTGAATTTGGCGGCGAGCGATTGATAGGTGATTTACAAAGGATCAAGACAAATGATAGAATAGGTCAGTATGGTCTGATCTAATAAGCAGTGATCCTAGCTGATTTACTCACCAAAATGGCTTGGTAGATGCAATGAATCTGACAATAATGTCCAAAGGATGCCAAATGCAACGTCTGATGGAACGGGACGACTTCCGAGGTTTACTTGCCATTGACACACCGGGCAGCGCGGATCGTCGAGTTCACGGGAACATCAGGCTGAAAAAGGGGAGATACGAGTTGCTGCTTCGTCATGTGGCAAGGAGTGACACTACAGTCGTTCATCGGGATACATTTCCCATACCAAATGGGAAGAAAGCTTTGTCTGGGATAGTGAAGCCGGTGCGATCCGTGGACTGTGGGGGGTTGGTGGTGGGCTGTGTCCAGCCTAGGAACTGTGTCGTCGGTCGAGTTGGGGAGAAAACTATTTATGGACTCGTGAAGCAATGTTACGAGTACGTCGATCATAACGGCGTTCAACGGGGTTTCCTGATTGTGGAGAAGATTGTGGACCGATACCCGAAGGCATTGCGTCTCCCCTCCACAAATTTCCGATACCTCTGTTTCTTGCTGGGTGTGGTCGTGGGCGAGGTCAAGCCAGGCGCAGAGATGGTCCTTTGCCCATCTGAAGTGACTGCGCTAGCAGCTTATCGGCGATTCAGCCCCAACACCTTCTCGATTGCCTGCAATTCCATTGGCGTGGTTCCACACTCTCACCAGGCCATGCTCAGCTTGTCATAACCCACTCATACCCCCTTGGGACCCATGTCAGCGATTTGCCAATCTTATTACATTAGCTCACAAGATTACCCTTCTCTTGTTGTCCACCCCACAGTGTCTTTCTTGTTTTTTTGGTCCTTTTGTAATGCAAATACCATCAAATCACTCGAGTACGACAAGATATTGATCTGTCTTTGCCAGCTTGGACAAATGATTGAACCCAAGAGAAAGTTTCTCAATGATTTTTTGCTTTCTATAAAGCCATGGACAAAACATAGTTACTTATTCAATGAGTCACTTCATCCACATCATGTTGAGAAAAACAAGAAAACATCCATTGGAGGTTGTTGCCCACTCAGAAACAAGGGCCTTTGGATACTTATTCAACAAGTTATTTCATCAACATCATATTGAGAAAAAAAAAAGAAAAAAAACACCCATGTTGCCCGCTCAGATGCCATGGTATGCCAGCTATGGGCGGTTAACCCATACCTCCAAGCCGCCATTTCCGCCATCTAAACCCATTCGGAATCCTCCATTTCCATGTCCTCGACAAACTGGTGGTCATCGTCTTCGCCCTCACTCGAGTTACGTTCGCCCCCACTCGAGTGGTCTTCGCCCTCATATGAGTCGTCCTCACCCTCATTTGAGTCGTCCTCTACAAAATCATCGTCGTCGTACAAGTCGCCGGCATCACCCTCAGCCAAATATTCCTCATCGGAAGCGTCAGGGCTGGGCTGAGTTAAATCGATTCCCTCCCCCTCATCATCACCTTCTTCCTCCTCCCTATGCTCAACTTCACTTTCATCCTCGGACGAATCCCCATCAACCAGCCCATACGGCTCTGCTAAAATTTCCCAGTATTTCCGGGTGAAAGTCGAATCAGCTAACTTCTCGTCGGGATGGCGCTCAGCCTTTGGAAGTAGCGACTTCTTTGCATCGGGGAGGAATGCCAAAGCCTTGCGATCAGGAATCGTGTGTTGGTGAGCCGGGATGAGATCAT